GGGAATGGAGTTTCGAGAGTTGGCAGCCGTTTAGGAGGAGCTCGCGTAGGGGTTTCAGGTCCTTGAAGTCCTCGGGCTCTATCTCGACGAGTGGGTTACCGCTGAGGTCGAGGTACTCGAGCCGCTCCAGTCGGTAGAATAGGCGGGGCACCAGTTTTGTGAGCTTATTGCGGGCCAAACTGAGCCGGGTCAGGTTGGTTAGGAACCGGAATGGCGCTGATGGTGAGCCTGGATGTGAGACATAAGTTGTTAGAAATAGTTTACAAATAGTTTTTGTTTTGCTGATTATATAAGCAATCGATTACATGTCAAACACTAGAGATAATTATGTATCAAATCGTTTTGTTTCGGCTCATATATATAAAGTTATGTAACTTTTTTGTTTTGTTTTATTATACTGTACTCTCTCTCTCTCTCTCTCTCTCTCTCTCTCTCTCCCTCTCTCTCTCGGCCTCTCGCATAGAAAAATCGATTTTCCAAAACATTTGATTAAATGAATAGTTATTCAAATCATAATTGATATTAAAGATTATAATTCAGAGAGAGAGAGAGAGAGAGAGAGAGAGAGAGAGAGACTCTTACTACCAATTATTATTTGAATAACTAATCATTTTTTAATCAAATGCATAGACTTTGGGAAAGGTATAGCATTTGTTGGTGTTTGTGAGGCCCTGGTTCTCAGCGCACAACCTATTAATTAGTTTATAATTTTTCAAAACTATACATACCTTCGAGACTATTATCACTCAAATTCAGTGCCACTAAGTTAGACAAGCCGTTGAAGTCGGTGTCCCGTAGTATCGTAATGTTATTATAGCTGAGGTCCAGGAGCTGCACTTTCCTACCCGGCCAAAAGGACGAGTCCCCTATCGCCGGCACATTACTATACTTTATATGGATTTCCTGTAAAGAGTTAAACTCCAGAAATATCCGTCCGATAGTCACTTGGTTTGGGTGATCAGGCGGTGCCGTAAAGATAAGGATCTGTTTTATGAGATATCACATGAAAAATCAATTTTATTATAATATAATCAATAGTCTGGTTGTAATTTATTAGGGTATGTGAATGAAAACAAACATATTTTTGGCAGTATATGCCATAATTGTTGCATAACTAGTGACTAATATTAAACATTATTTACTTTCACGGTTTAATGAATGCATAAAATCTTATATGGATTTCAGTTTAGTCTAGAAATGTGTGTAAAATGTAATAAAATTGTAATTTAATGTAAATATATTTGTACAATGTGTGTGTATACT